AAAAAAAAAAAAAAAAAAACTTGTTGTAGCTGATTCGATATTTAACAAGTGTTAATGTAAAATTTTGTATTTCTTTTATTGATTAAATTGTTTTTAAGGTTATAATTTAACTGTGAAAGTGTTGTTTTTTTTGTGAAAAAATAAATAATAAAGTTGTTTTCTAAAAGGAAAAAGTCAAATAGAATGCTGTTTTCTGTAAAAGAAGTTTCGTTTCAATGCCTTTTCCAACAAACTCTTCTATTTGAGAAGAAAAATTGTGTATTTCTACGATGTACTCGATTATAAAAAGAATTGTATCCCATTCAAATCCTCGTCTACTTCATTTCAAAATTAAGATTGGGCAGCCCTGGTTTGGTATAATCATATCGTCATCATTAAGGTGATACGTAAATACAACTATTATATGTGATACTATTATCATACGATTTATTTTATCTAATCATATTTTTGCTTATCGTCTTATTATCATATTATAAGTTCGAAATGCAAAAAAAACATTTTGATATAATCATGCAAGCATCTTTAAGCTGAAATGTAAACACGACTATTATATGTGACACTTGATTCCCTTGATTTATTGTATCCAATCATATTTTTGCTTGTTGTCCTATTATCATATTATAAGCTAAAAGTGCAAAGAAACATTTTGGTCTAGACATGTGCTCATTGATACGTAAACATGGTAATTATATGTGATAGTACTGTCATGTGATTTATTTTATTCAACCATATTTTTGCTCGTTGTCCTATTACCACATTATGAGTTCAAAGTACAAAATAAGGACATGTGATCCCCATATTTTTTACAATGTGGCAACGAACCATGACGGCGCACACTGGCAAGGTATATATTCCCTGCTCGAATTCGCTTGAAACACATTAGACAAGTACCGGCTTAAAGCAAACCATATTATTTGTTAAAGATATACAAAAGAATAAATATGTATTATCTACAATCATGGTCAATCATCGTTATATTACTGTCAATCAGCAATCAATTTCATGAATGTGAGTAGTAGACACATGCAATAGGTCTCACCCTTTCATTTGGAACATTATCTAATGTTCCATTATGTTAAAGCTTTTCTTAAGAAAACATTTAACTTTGTTCATTGCCAGATGATTTTTGAATCTCGTAAACATTGATACATGTCTTCTTTTCAAATTATCAGTTAGTATGTGTAGCTATTCTCGTAAATGTCTTGTAGAATGAAACTTTAAGTATTAAGTTGCCTAAAATTGAATATTTCTCGGTTTTATTCAGCTACAGTCACTATCAACTGTAGTATGTCATTAGAGATAGAGGGCTCGACAAAATCAAGCAATATCAATATCTCTATCTTATTAAAAGTGTGGCTAGCATGCTACTTTCGCCAGCTCTTGATAGGAGTCAGCTCCTGTAATTATAATCTGTAATTAATTTTCATGCTAGCAGCTAAACGTAAGATAACCAAAGAAAAGTTAAAATTAATGAGTAAAGCTAAAACATAGGAATAAGTCGATACTTTTTGCTCGATATTTAGCTATCAAAAATACGTTGAAAGAAATCCAAATCATTACGAGGATCATTCTAAATAAGGATATTTATCGGGTCTTTCAACTTACGATTCGTTTGTTCGAAGTAATGTTATCAGAGCTACGAATAAAATGATGATGGTACATCATTCACCGCTCTACCGTAGTGCCAGTATTACTACTAATAGACAACTGAGTCATCATTGCATTCTCGACTAGAGTAATATTTATTAGAGAAATTGTTCTTAAACTTATTTTCTTATTTTTCAATTGTGTATTATTTAGCCAAAGGTGCACCAACTGAAACAATACCAAAAAAAGTCTTTCTAAATAAAGGACAAGCCAAGCTATCTGGTGGCGCATCTTCAAATAATATGAAAAATCATGGAGGTCCTGTTATGCAGGGTACTATTAATGTATACCTCATCTGGTATGGAAATTGGGGTACCAATACTGCTCCTAATGTCATAATACCATTTTTGAGCGGTTTGAAGGACACTGCATGGTGGGCCATAACCACGACATATTATCAAGGTACCACTCAACTTAAATATGCCGGAAATCCAGTCTACAAAAATTCAACAAATGTCCTCAATACATACGGCACGAGCTTGTCAAACGCAAATATACAACAAATTGTGAGTGATTCTATTACGTCGGGCGTGTTCCCAAGTGACACAAATGGTGTCTATTTTGTATTAACCTCTGCCGAAGTAACCGCAAGCAGTGGGTTCTGTACGTCCTATTGTGGTTGGCATAATCATGGTACCATTGGGGGCAAAGATATAAAATATTCCTTTGTTGGAAATCCAGACAGATGCATAAATTCCTGTGCAGCGCAGACCACATCACCAAATGGCAATGCGGGAGCAGATGGAATGGCCAATATTATTGCACACGAACTTACTGAAACAGTCACAGATCCCGATCTCAACGGTTGGTATGATGCAAGTGGTCAAGAAAACGCAGACAAATGTGCTTGGACTTTTGGCACTATGCAAACGACCAATGGTGCAAAGTGGAATATGCAATCTTCAGGATATAATTACTTGATTCAGCAAAATTGGAGCCTAACCCGTATCGCTTGTGCCATGTCCTAAATAGTATTGGCACTATTGGAGTGCTAAACTAGGACTATCGCTTATAATAATTTTTTCATTTTTATACTTTCTTTTAGTTTAAAATTTTAATGCGAAATAAATTTAAACATTTCGCGTTCGTTTTTTGTCAAATACTTATATAATAAATACTATATTGAAACTAGGTTTTTTCATTAACATTCAATAATTAAACATTTTCTTTCGCTGTTATTCACTTTTTCATGATTATCGATAATAATTAATAAAAAAAATGAAAAAAAATCCATGCTACCTTGTCTAGAAATATGAATAAGCTCGAGATGCCAAAGAAATCTAACATTATCATCATACAAATATCAATAGTCATCGTGTTCTAGTTGTCAGATATTCTAAATGAACCAGAGATAAAAAATGAACTGAATTGAACTCAAACTATTTCTTGAAAAAACGATATCGAATTGAACTGAACCTGAACTAATTTTCGAAAGTATTATCAGAATATGAAGTATAAAATTTGCTTTGAATAATTTTTATTTAGAATAATTTATATTTCAAGTAGTTACATTCGTTATCTTCAGAGATGATCAAAGAATACATCATACATACATACATATATATATGCTTTGACAGGAAAGAAAAGAAAAAGAAACAAATATTGTCATCTCATATTGTTCTTTTTCATCGTAATCACATGGTCAATTATATGATTACGATAAAAAAAAAACAATATAAGAGAAGAATATTTGTTTGTTTTTGTTTTTCTTGCCTGTCGATGCATATATAGAGCAGATAGGGACTATTTTGAACGAATTTTCAAAAGTTAAAATTTGAAGTCTTATAACTTTTTTATTTTTCGTCAGTTTTAAGGACAAAAAATGAAATACTGATGTGTAGTCTAAAATGTTCTCGACATATCTATTTAAAATATTTTGAAATAGATCTCCCAGAAACTCATCATTAACTATTTTGCTAGAAGCACCATTACTTTTTTCATGACAGTTTCACATGAGGCTATCACAAACATGCGTTGTATATAGAGGTGTTAGCCGATCCCTTTTCCGGCGGCGGCGGCGGAAAAGTTTCAAAATACCGGCGGCGGCGGCGCATCAAGTCCGCCGAGGAAACCGTTTTCAGCGGCGGCGGTGAAATTGTTCGTGCGTCGTTTCCGTTTATTCGTGGTTCCCTACTACTAAAACAAACATAACACGTTCCGTTCTCACAGAAATATAACATTATATATCTCCTTCAATGTGGATCTCCTTTTCTAAAAAGATTTTTCACCATACGTCAGTTTATTTTCATCAAGTCAAGACTTTCAATATTTTAAGGTACAATAAGTTGAAAAATAACAATAGCGTATGCTAGAAGCAGAATCAATAGTAGTATCATTTCAATCTACTTGTTTGTCAAAGCAAATTTTGCAATAAATAGTATTGTTATCGATCGCTTCTTTCATTTTTAATGATGTCAGTTGACCGAAGTATGACCATGCAAGAGAGTGACCGGTCTTGAAAGAGCGGAGCTTGATGTAAACATCTCGAACACAGTGCGTCATTCTAGCAGAATAATCAGTTTTTCTTCACCTGCCAGATATAATACAATGTTCACAAGAATGTCAGTTGTGTCACTGAATGTGCAATGCGAACGCAACTATTTATATGTTTCATACCTTTTGTTTTCTCGCCTAATTGATTATTCAGAAAAGGAAGAAGTTTGAACTAGAGATTCTAATTCGATCGACGGCGGCGGCGGCGAAAAATTCCTCGCCGGAACTCCCTCTTCGGCGGCGGCGGATGAAAATTTTATCGGCGGCGGTGGCGAAAAATCGGCGGCTAACACCTCTAGTTGTATAGAATGGAGCTATTATGAACACTCAGCCCAAACAGCTGGAAAACTTCACCTTTATTGTAAATCAGCGCTTCGCAGCGTAGGATTTGATGGAACAAAAAAAGTCATCCTATGAGCCAAACTATTCAAATCTATCCCATTGGATGAGACATCTTAATTGTCACATACATTTTATGAAGTTAAATTTATTCAACATTTATCGGCCGACTGAAACTATGAAATATTATATTATTTCATCTTATATTTCAGATTTTTATTACAATCAAGTTCATAGTTTTTTTTTTCTTAATTTACAATGAAAAAAAATCATTTTCTTTATGAATGTAATATTTTTTTTCAAAATAGAAAAAAAGAAAGTAAAACAAATGAAAAATGAAAATATCTCCTTAAATACAAAACACTTGGAAAGAAATCAACATAAATAAAACTATTAAAAAAAAGTTCCAATTACAAATTATTAAACAAGTTACATATTTTCCATGAAACGAATAAATAGAATGTTATTAATTTCATTAGGATCTAATGTTGTTCAATGTTCATTGATTATGATACCAGTATCATTAAATTATCTTTTGATGACCACAAAGGAAGCTGGTATGCAATGAATTTGACGGACTAATTTGAATAGTACTGGAAAAACAGTATAACTTTTTCGCCAAAAATCCAATGAATTGTCAATTAAAGTTGTTTTATCAATATTCATAGATCAATATCGACTTAATTTGTCGACTTTTGCTACATCAAATACATAATCTTCACTTCCAGAGCTATTACATTCATCAATTAATCCTTTCAGATCACTATCATTTTCATACTGTTGCAGGATTGTTTATTGGATTTTTGATTTTTTTTTCTATGGTTAACAATCTTGTTCTGGATTGATTTTACTAATTTTGTTCATATGTTTACGAATATATTTATATCCTTGTTCATGTTCATCTTTTGTGCATCCTTTCAATTGATAATATCGAAGATGTAACAGTTTTGCCTTATAATACCCAACGTCTAATTCAAACATAGTATTAAGTAAATCAAATATTCTAACATGAAGAATTTCGATTCCTGAAATGAATCAAGCAGAAAATCAGTGTAAAGAGTTACTTTGAAAAATAAAAAAATTCATTACCTTCATTTTGTATTATTTCTTTAATTTCTTCATGAATATCATTATTAATATAGTTTGAACCATTTATGAATGAGTGTGTGTGATAATTTATCAACTCATCAAAAGATGACAAGGTTTTTCTTAGCATGAATGTGCAAATTAATACTATATATAATAATGAAGTATTTGTTGATTGCATTATTTTTAACACTTGTTTAAAAGATTTTAATAAACGTATTATTTGTTTCAAAATTTCTTCATCAATGGCCTTTTAAGTTCATTCATTGTTTACGATTAATTAAAATACATTTTGTGACCCTATAAGAACGAACAATACATTCAAGTAAATTGATTTAGTGACAAACAACGGATGACAGTTGATTGCTGTAAGACAACTCCACCAAGACATTCAATATCTTTATTATATCAATACTAAATAGACAATAAAATATGCAGCAGTATTACTTTTTTATATGGAACTGTTCTTTTTTCTTTCTATCTATCAATAAAGAGAGAATACATAATACATCTTCTTATTCTTTTTATAAATTCGACGAATTTTTTACATCATCTGATGATTCTGGTTATTTCTTGTGCTGATGAATGTAAATCTTCGAATTTCAATTGTTTTTTTTTTGATTATTAACATCATTTATTCCAAATTATGGTTGTTTTTTCTATGTTCTTTTGGTGGTATTGGTGAAATCTATGTGTTGTATTGTTGCAAATAGTTTGTTTTTTTCCTTCTTTATTTGAGTGTGATTGAAAAAATAAAAATCTAACAATGTTATTGAACTGATGCGGATAACAAAACAAAGTATCATAACTTCTTAATGCACATATGAGATTTGCATCACAATTAGAGATAAAATGTAATTGATCGAAATCAATTAAATCAAATGGTACTAAACATTGTTGGATACACAAGAAAATGTCAAAAGATGATGTACATATTAAAAGTAACTTAAAGGAAACAACAATTTATTATCGACATCCCATGTAAAAAAATTCATTTCAAAAATTGATTAAAAATCAATTAAAATCGTATGATTTTTTTAATCAATAACTTAGCAGTAATGATCATAGCAAAATCAAATTTTAATCAACTATTATGATTATAATCGATTTAGAATATTTTCAAAAATCGATTATAATCATAATAGTTGATTAAAATCTGATTTTGCTATGATTATTACTGCTAAATTGTTGATTAAAAATTGTATGATTTAATCGATTTTTATCTCTCTAGAGTTGATTTTTTTTTCGCATTTGTTGTACATGGAATGTCTTCACATAACTTCAATATTAAGAAATACTTGTTAATTGACCTCAGAGTCATTTGATCTTTCGACTTACATCAAGGATGAAGATAAAAATGTATCAGAATAAACACAAATACAACGATTTTCATATGGCTGTTTTAATAAACCTTTTAATTTTGTACGATAATCATCAACTAATTTATATATGTGTTTAGCAAATAGAATGGTAAGAAGAATAACTTACCCAAAATAATAAATGATTATAGTCAATTTCTTAAACCAATGTCTTCCACAATAGAAAAAGCTCGCATGTCTTGACATAACCACTTATATATTAAATTTTTAATTAAGGTGATTTCTCTCTCTCGGATAATTGTATTTGTTTATAACATTTCATTGCTGTTTCTAACTTCATTTAAGTTTTACTACCATCTGCTGATGAAGATTCTCTATTGCGCTTTAATAAATCTTGCATATAAATGTGTATGTTGAATAGTCTGGTGTCAGAATTAAATGTAAATGCGTATGTTCGAAAAAATGTTTCATAATGAATAAAATTTAGAATTAGTTCGAATTCTTCTTTTGTATTTAATTTCTTGGCCGAAAAACCGAAAAGCTACCACTAAACAGAAGACAAATTACTCTTGGTATTTTCAAATAACTATATAATTTGATGACTCTCTTTTTAATAATCGAGTGATCCATTCAGCTAAATATTCATAAACATCTAATGTCGAATCAGAATTTGAAGAAAAGGATAACATAATGATAGAAGAAGACGAAGTTGCGACCAAAGCTATCAAATC